CTGTGGCCATAGATAGCTGTTGAGAGAGAAAATCAGCCCAACGTTGAAAATTGGTTTTCTTTTTTCTTCAATTAAATGTCAGCAAAGCATATACCAAAAATACCAAAAAATACTCAAACCATATACAGAAAATACTCAAAAAATACTGCCAAGCAAAGCATCAGCGTAGTTTCGAAATGAAAAGCATTAATTTAGCAGCGCATCAACATAATCATCATCTTCATCATCATTATTATTATCATCATCATAGCATACAAGGATTATTATCAGGTTAGATATTTTTTTAACTAGAGGATTTTCTTAGGAGGATTTTCAAAAAATAAAACACAAGCGCAATTTTTGTTTGTTTGGTTTTTTAGTTTTTTTTTTTTGTTTTTGTTTTTTTTTTTTTTTTTTTTTTTTTTTTTTTTTTTTTTTTTTTTTTTTTTTTTTTTGCTTGAGAGGGTAGTTTTCTCCGCTAAGGATTTTCAAAGTTTACTTTTTATTTAGAGAAGTTCCTTTAATGATAATCATACTTATGCTTTTTATTTTGGTTTTTGGTTTCTTTGTTGTTTGCCTTTGTTGTTTTTTAAAAGTTTTGTTTTGTTAATAAATAGTTGTTGTTTAACAGCTAAATACATGTTGTCATAATATTTGAATGTGGTAATTGTGTTTTTCCTTTTTCTTCTGTTTCAGTTATTTCTGGTAATGTTTTTGACATTTGTTTGGTGTAGTTTTTGTTGTTTTTTTGCTGCGTTAAAATTCACTTACTAACTAGGTATGTTTTTTTTTTCAATTATTTTTATAATTTTATTTAAATTAATTTATATTGTTTGGTTTTTCATTTTCGTATTTTATATTTGTTCTAAATTATAATTGTTTTGTTGTTTGGTTTCTGGTTTAGCCAGGGCTGTTGTGCGGCACCGTGTTGTTTGTTTTGTCCTTCGAGTTCGCATTTCGACAAGTTTAAGAATCAATCATTTTCTCTAAAATTAGGCTTACGTAATCTATATGTCCATATATCTTAATAGTTACGTGACTTAATACCCTAAATTGTAACAATAAATTTTTTATATTATTTATATTGTTGTTTTTTTTTTTTTTTTTTTTTTCGGTAACTTTTACACACATTTAAGCAATACATTTAATTTATTTGTTCGTCTGGTAATATTTCGTTATATAATTGTGGTAATGTCCATATAGTAAATATGTTCTTATATTGAGTTTTAAACGTTTTATTGGAATGAACTTTAACACCAACTTACGTGCTAGAGAATCGATTTCTATGCAAGTATAGAATATTTGGTAATCATAATAATCATAATCATAATAATATTTATATATTCTTTCGCTTTGACTCTGGCGCACCAAATGTTTTTGGCACATGCTGTACTTGTGTCGTTTACCAACACTGCCAACGGTTTTCACTTAACGGCTAGATTAATTGAGTGTTGTTGTTTTTGTTTTTGTTATATAACATGCACATTTCTTCATCAAATCATGTATTGTTAGAACGTGGAAAAAATCACTAAAATGTATATTCCATATATATATATATTATTTTGTTTATTTAACTTTCCATTAACTTTTCACATCTCATATGACCCTCAACATTAAATTTGTCTGAATTGAAGTTTTGCTAATGAAAAAACGATTAACACATTTATCGATTAATAATTTGTTGTGTTTTTTTGGGCGTGTACTTTGAGCAAATCTTATGCCACAGCTAGAGTCTGGTCAACGGTATCGAATGTATGACGATTGCATTGGGAGACTTCTCAAATGATGCAACTGTTAGAAACTTCTCTCGCCCCTCGGCATACGCCAGCCCCGCTCAATTTTCGTGGCACCCTCGCACCCGTTTCGCCGGGACTCCATGCCTGGCTACTCGGCGTGCTTAATGCGCTCTTGAGCGCCGAGCTGGCAACGCCGGGCTCGTGGAAACCATCGGGAAAATACTGTTTCAGGAATCCGTTTGTCCAGGTTTGCGCTGTGGCACAATCGAAGTGCTTCAAGCAATAGACACCTATGCTTAGACTAAGACATTTATATAATTTAGCTTGAACTTTTTGCTTTGATTACCACTGTTGGCCAGGCATGGAACGCTTGGCATTCGGCACACGACGCTGTCTGGCAACGCTGCGTGTGGCAAATGCCCAGAAAAACGTTTTCATGCCTGCGAGCCTAGGCAAAGGAACGATTATCCGATCGCTTTGCTTCGGCTCTACTCTTTTGATTATACTATTCCATAGTTCCGCTGGCGAAACGTTTCGATTTTCAATTCGTAATTTTATATAATTGTTGTTGTTGTTCTTGTTGTTTTCTGGTTTTGTTTTTCATTTATGTAACCACCAATACCCTAATTAATTTATGTGTTTTGTGGTTTGTTTGAACGCCTTGTAGCTGGCTGCTACGGTTTGTGCTGTTCCATTTCATGCGTTTCAATGCCAAAATGGTTCTGGTAATGTTGTTCTTTTGTTTTGTGTATATGTGTGAATTCCCTAGATCTTGTTTATAATATATATTACGTTGCACTACGTTTATCCAACTTGGTTGCTTACTGCTATGTTGTTTTTGTTTTTGTTTGATCGGTTCTATCGGTTATCGGGTTGTATAACTTAGCTCCATTCCGCTGTTCCGTTTTCTAGCGTTCCTTGTTCAGGCAGGCCGTTGCTCAATTTATTGTTTCGTAGTACCTCAGCTACTCGTTCTACGTTTCTGCTTTACTCAAATAACTTTGGTTGTAGTTCTGCTGCGCTTATTATTAAGTTTTTTTCGTTAAGTTTTGTAAGGTTTATGTTTTGTTTTGTTTTGTTTTTTTGCATGCCCCTGGGCTTAGTTGTTGTTTTGCGCGACTTATTTTTAATTAAATGTACGCTCTTCTCTCCTCAATTTTCTACTTTAGTTTGTTGCATCTTAAAGTCAAATGTGCTTTGTTGCCGCTACATTAACTGTTAAATATTTATCAAGAGTTTTTGTTTTTGTTCTTTTGCTTTTCATTGTATTTTTCTTGCTTTTTTTTTTTTGTGTGTATTTACTTTTTGTTTTGGTAACCTCATTTCTTTTTCGAGTGTAGTATTTTGTGTAGTGTAGTGTAAACGTGTTTTTTTTGTGGTTGTTGTCTTTTAACCTTCTGCTAAAAATTATAGCACTAATTAATGTTTAAACGAAATCATAGACAAAAACTTAGCATTTTATTAAACGTAAACCCATTTCAAGAACTGTTAGTA